CTCCCAAGGTCGGGTCTCTTAAAAAAAAAAAAAAAGAAAGAAAAGAAAGAAAGAAAGAAAAATCTCAATGTCATTGTAGTTATAGATGTAGATGCAGTACTGATACTGGAAGGGTCAAGGCATAAAACTAAAGGTTGAAGTTAAGTTTCCATCCTTGGATTAGATCAAGTAAAATTCCATTATTAAACCACAGTTCAAGATGCCCAACAAACACCTGAAAATTCTTAGAAGCAATAATAGTTATTTATATACTAGTCAACTTGTTCATTTTCAAGCTTACTACATTTTAGATCTTTTCTGAAACAAGGGAGAATTTAAATTATCTAACTAAACAAATAGTAAACGAAACAATGAAAAAATAAAACAGTACCTTTATATCAAAATTACAATCAAGTCTTCTAATTAACACGATGAAAGTGCCAGACGAATTGTCTTTTAGTGGTGGAGGCACTATGGGTTCACAGGCATTCTCTGGTTTTGAGTTAATCAAAAAACCCTGAAAAATAATTGGCAATAAGTTATCTCTAGTTTCAATGAATCCACCAACTTACTGCTTCAGACATCCTTTTAAATTTGTTTCATGTGTTATGCATTATGCTGAATGTATGATCTAGTACTTCAATTGCTCGCAATCCCAGAACTCCTATAGCAGTATTTGATTTCACAAGCATTTAGTTTTCTTTAAAAAGTTCAATTTTTCTTGTATTAAAGTTTTTTTAAAAGAATCATGCAAAAGTCAATCACCCCAAAGACAACTATTGCTAACATGTTGGCATATTTTCCGACAATTTTTGACATTTCTAAACCAAGCAAATACTTCTTACAAAATAACTTTTAGCTGGGCACAGAGGCTCATGCCTGTAATCCCAGCACTTTGGAAGGCGAAGGCAAGAGGATTGCCTGAGCCCACAGGTTCAAGACCAGCCTGGGCAATAAGGCGAGACCTCATCTCTACAATAAATTTTTTTTAAAAAATTAGCCAGGCGTGGTGGTACACGCATGTAGTTCCAGCTGCTTGGAAGAATGAGATGGGTCAGGCTCAGTGGCTCAGCCTGTAATCCTACACCTTGGGAGGCTGAGATGAGTGAATTGCCTGAGCCCGTGGGTTTGAGACCCGCCTGGGCAACTTGGTGAGACCTCATCTCTACAATAAATCAAAAAACTAGCCGGGTGTGGTAGCACGCGCCTGTAGTTCCAGCTACTTGGAAGACTGAGGTGGAAGGATCGCCGGAGCCCAGTAGGTCGAGGCTGCGGTGGCCGGGAGTGGCCACTGCACTCCAATCTGGGCGACAGTGTGAGACTCCAACTCAAAAAAAAAAAAAAAAAGACTGAGATGGAAGGATAGCCTGAGTCCAGCAGGTAGAAGCTGCAGCAGCCCTGAGCGTGCCACTGCACTCCAGCCTGGGTGACAGAGTGACTCCGACTCAAAAAATATATAAAAATAAATAAATAAAAACTTGTAACTTTCGTGCTATTAAACAATGAAACACACATTATAAATAAATTTCTAGAAACGTATTCTACAGAAACACTAGCCTGAGTATATAAAGATATATAATGGAAGGGTAGTCACTGCTACATTTTTTTCAATAGCAAAAACCGGAAATCATGTACATCACAAAGCAGCTATTTAAATAATTATTGTATCTTTATACAATAGAAAAAATAATGCAGCCATTAAAAAATGAGACAGATCTACATACGGCAAATTGAAAAGATGTTTATAAGATAACTATGAAATTAAAAAGAAGAGAGCAAGCTGCTTTCCCAGGAACGCAAAATGATTTGACATCAGAAATGTATTAATATCACATGTTATATTAACAGATTAAAATAGAGAAACCAGGCTGGGTGTAGTGGTTCACTACTGTAATCCCAGCACTTTGGGAGGCAGAGGCAGGAGGACTGCTCGAGTCTAGGCAACAGTGAGACCTTTTCTCTACAAAAAAGTAATAATAATAGTCAAAAAAAAAAATCCTGCAGTCCCAGCTACTCAGGAGGCTGAAGTGGAAGGATCTTGAGCTCAGAAGGTTGAGGCTGCAGTAAGCCAAGATCGATTGTGCCACTGTATTCCAGTCCAGGCAACAGAGTAAAGTCTCGACTCAAAAAAATAAGTATATAAAATAAAACAGAAAAACAAAATGACTATCTCAACGGATGTAAAAACAAAAATGAATAAACACATAAAATGATCACAAAATTCACTTAATTCATGTATAAGAAGCAAGCAATTTAAGCTATGAGAAAATGTGTTAACAACAGTTCCACATAGAGCTTGAACTGGTCATACCAATCACCTATTCTGTAGGATTTGGCAGTTTCTCCTGCCTTGAATCACATTGCTTGGATTATGACAGGATTTATGGTTTTGCACATGTCTTCAGGTATAAAAAGCATCACTTCTTCACTCACTCATATACTACTAGATCATCTTAATTCCATAAATATAATCAAAAACAGCCGGGCTCGGTGGCTCAGCTTGTAATCCCGCACTTTGGGAGGCTGAGGTGAGTGGATTGCCTGAGCCCGCGGGTTCGAGACCCACCTGGGCAACGTGGCGAGACCTCATTTCTACAATAAATCAAAAATGAGCCGGGCGTGGTAGTGCGTGCCTGTAGTTCCAGTTACTTGGAAGGCTGAGGCGGAAGGATCACCGGAACCCAGCAGGTCGAGGCTGCGGTGGCTGGAAGCGGCCACTGCACTGCAGTCTGGGCGACAGAGTGAGACTCCAACTCAAAAAAAAAAAAAAATATATATATATATATATATAGTCAAAAACAAATCTGTATCCCATGATCTTCATCTTCTGTATCTTCTTGCTCCTCAACATAAAGAATCACTCCAGGTAACAGATTACAAAAACACTGTATACAAGAATTATAGTAAATCCAGCCCAAAAGGTATGTTGCTGAAAACAAGATTAGCATTGATAGCTATATTCAGGTAATCTAACACTGGGCTTACTGATCAAGGCTTCTATATCAGAAGTAAATCTCGTTTTCAATTTTTTTTTTTTTTATTTGAGTCGGAGTCTCACTCTGTTGCCCAGGTTGAAGTGCAGTGGCACCGATGCCTCCCAAAGAGCTGGGACTACAGGTATGAGTCACCGGACCCAACCTCGTTTTCAATTTTTTAACAGTTATCATTATCTCTTCTACTTATCAAGGCACTTCCTCAAAGTATAGAAACAAAAAACCTGAAAAAGATTGATCCTCCTGAGACTGGTCCTTGATGTGTAACTAAATTACTCCAACAACATTGACAATAAACCGTGTCTAGCAAGACACCTTGCTAGAATTACAGATCTACATGTAAAGTCTTGACAACTGTCTTCATCTGTTTTGTGTTGCCACAACAGAATACCTGCGACTAGTAATTCATAAGAAAAAAAGGTGTATTTAGCTCACAGTTGTACAGGCTATACAAGAAGTATAGCTTCAGCACCTGCTCAGTTTCTGGGAGAGCTTTTGTGCTGCATCAAAACATGGCAGAGAAGGTCAAAGAGAAGCAGGCACATATGAAGAGGAACCAAACCTGAGGGTTGTCCTGGCTTTATAACAAACCACCCGCATAGGAACTAATCCATTCCCATGAAAACTACATCCCATCTAACTAGAATGAGAATGGCGCCGAGTCATTCACAAGGGATCTGTCCTCATGACCCAAACATCTCTCATTAGGTCCCACCTTCCAACACAGCAACAATGGGATCAAATTTCAACATCAGATTAGGTTGAAACAAACAAACAAACCATATCCAAACCATAGCAACTACTCACTGTTACCCCTTAATAGTTAGATATCCATTTGAAAAAAGTAAAAATATTGTCATATCTTACACTATACAATAAAATAATTCTGGGTAAAGATCTCCTAAGCATGGAGTGGGGGCAAGGGAAAAGTAATCTTTACCAACTTTTCAGGGAAACAAAAATATGTCAAGACCTCAGAGTAGTGAAGGATGATTTAAGACACAGAAAACATAAAACATCAAAAAAGGTGCCTGCATTAACATTTATATTTAGGCATAGTGGAAGGCAATAAAAACCAGTCAGGCACCATGGCTCATGCCTGTAATACCAGTACCTTGAGAGGCGAAGGTGAGAGGATTGCCTGAGCCCAGAGGTTTGAGACCATCCTGGGCAACTTGGCGCCTTGTGTCCTTAATATAATTTTAAAAATTAGCCAGGCATGATGGCACACGTCTGTAGTTCCAGCTTCTTGGGAAGATGAGGCGGAACAACTGCTTGAGCTCAGTAGACAAGGCTGCAGTAGCTGTGAGCATACCACTGCATTTCAGCCTGGGTAACAGAGTGAGACTCAGATTCAAAAAAAAAAAGTTGAAAAGTAAGCATAGAGGAAAAAATATTATGACATAGAAAGGATTAGTATCTAGGTTCCTAAAAATCAATATTTTTAAAACTAACACACCAATAGAAAAATGGGCAAAAAAGAAGATAATTCAAATAAAAAGAAACCTGCTTGACCAATGATCCTATAAAAAAGATACTCACCCTTGGGCCAGGTGCTGTGGTTCATGCCTGCAATCCCAGCATTTTGGGTGGCTTAGACAGGAAGATTACTTGAACCCAGGAGTTTGAGACCAACCTGAGCAATATAGTGAGACTCTGTCTCTACAAAAAATAAAAAAAAATTAGCTGGGCATGGTGGCACAAGCCTGGAGTCCCAGCTAATTGGGAGATTGAGGAGGGAGGATTGCCTGAGCCCCAGGAAGTTGAGACTGCAGTGAGCCATGATCATGCCAATACACTCCAGCCTGGGCAAGAGTTAAACTCCCCAACTTAAAAGGAAAAAAAAAAATACTCGCTCTCACTAAGAATCTAGGAAATGCCACATAAAAAAGATACCATTTCACATTCATCAGATTGACAAAAGTTTAACCTGACAATACCAAGTCTTGACAAGGCTATGGCAAAACGGCAATACTTGAATGTGGTTTCCTTTAGTGAGAAAGGAAAAAGCATAAGATTAAAACACTAAATTCAGAGGTCAAAGACCTTCTAGAATGTCTAATGGGGACTCTCAGTAAGGAACTTCCCATAAGTATCTAACTCTGGACAATGATCACATCATAAAATATTTCATTGTCAGATCTCTTATAACATTTTTAGACTTAAGGTAACATATTGATGGCATAAATTATCTCCCTTTTGATCAAAGGTACAGCCACTTCTGCCTTAGTAAAAAAAAAAATTCATAAATAGGAATTAGTACACCAACCCTACTTACCACTCTAAAAGAGAAGAACATCATGGTCCTTAGAACATCTACTCAGGTGTGGGTTTGTTCTGTACACTGAAAGTCTTGACACAAGGACTGATTGATTTATGTTTGTTCCCTATGGAAACTGGGACTTAACCAAATATACTAGCAATAGCAAAAATTAACTAAAAGTCCTATTCTTTTGGTTTTTTAAAATTCTAATCTGACATCCCCCAAAGTTATAATTCTAATAAGGTAAAGGGTAAGAATAAA